ATGACTCAAACAAATTGGCCACTGCATCATTGAGGCCAATTCTTTGGTTGCCGGATAAAACCAGTTCAGATATTTTTATTAAAATTATTATTATAAAATTTTTTTTAAAAAAAAAAGAATTTTTATGTTAATATGGTTAAATTTAGATGTAAGTTTGACCGAGTTAATTAAGTTATAAATCAACCTGATTATATCAATCAAATTTCGCTGTGTATTTTTCCTAATTAAACTGAAAGCTCAGCCCGAAGCAAACTTTAAATCTATAATTTTGTCTTGGATGCTATATATATATATCCCTTAACAGGGGGCCAGAGGCATTCGAGAGGCTGTAAGGCATTTAAGAATGCAGTTACTGAATTTATGTCAAGAGGGGTAATTCTTTAGGATCATGGTTGTTTTTTTTTTTTTTTCCTGCATTACCGTGTTGCATTGTAAAACCTTTTTTTGCCTTTTAATTCTTATTTATTGAAATTTCCTTACAATTTTGTGTTTCCCATGATAAGATTGAAATACCTAATTCCAAACTATTGGTTTATGAATATTTGTAATTATGGTCGTAACATGGACATGCTTCTTATCCAAAGTTCAAAAAATACAAGGACCGGTCAGAGAGTTGAGAAACTAGAAGGAATCAATCTGAAATTGTGATCCCATTTTTGGTGTGTTTGTTTTTGCAATTTAACCTATTTTCCAAATTGGTTTTTTTTTGTTTGAATCAATTTTACATTGTGCAAGTGAAAAATTAAAAAAAAACTTCTTTAACCTCAACCAATATTACAATGATCGATTCGTCTTTTTGCAATTATAATATTGCACCCAAAAGCAAAAGCAATGCAAATGAGTTTTTTTTTTAAGAAAAAAATAGTAATCACATTATTTTAGTCCATGGTGCATTAACTCTAGGTGCAATTTACCACCCAATTAATTGTTTTTAATAAAGAAAACTGGCAAATATTTTTAAGAATGTAGTTTACTGTTGACCTAGTTAAATTTGAATGAGATTTAATCGGATCAACTTTAAAAGAATTTTTTTTAATTTTTTTTAAATAATATTGTTTTATTCTTTTTAAAAAACTTTTTAATTTAAATGATATCATTTCATAATATATTTAAGTTAATTATTTAAATGATATCATTTCATAATATATTTCATAATATATTTAAGTTAATCCGCAAACTTAGAGATTAATTGACCAAACATGTAACCCAAACCTTGAATAAAGCATACCTTTTGCCGTGTATGATAACCATGGTGTAGTTTTAATGGGAAATTGCCTTTGTTTGGTATTCCAGGATGGAATGGATAGAAAAGAGACTATATTTGCATACATACCTATGGAATGGGATTTCCCTTTATCCTGATATGGTAAGGGAAATCCATTATGAAAGCTCTTGCTCAGGCTCTCGACTAATCAAATCTGATAATTGGGATTTTTAAAAAAAATATGGTAAAAATTTTGGAAGAATGACAGGTTCAAAAAGTATTTAAAAAATAACACAATTTAAATATAATCATATTTTTAAATATTAATTTAATGCAAAATTGCTATTAGAAATAGTGATTAAACACAATTGTGTCTTCTAATTTCAATTATGTACATAATTGCTATTGAGAATAGCGATTGTGTAGTGATTTTTTTTTTAAAAAAAGATGATTAATCTTATCAAAAATCAAAATTTTATGAAGATTTAATTGCTAATAGATAAGACTCAAAATCCAATAGTGAAAGAGATAAGATGATGTGGCTCTAGAGAGAAATGAAGAAAAAAATGGAAAGAAAAAATAGATAAGTGAAAATCTGTTTTTCTTATATTTAGCATCACTGGAAAGTTTTGAACAAGAAAATTTTAAATGTATCTTGAAAAAATACTAAATGAGGTCATAATTAATCCTAAATTAACCCTAAATGAAATTCCTAATAAATTAACATCATATTTAATGATCTTTCAAAATTTAATTAGAATTATTTTATCAGGATTTTTTTAATAATATCAATTATGTTGAAAAACATAGCTCTAACATATCCCTACAACCCATTCTTTATTGGCTATTATTAGATCTTTACTTTTATTTCTTGGATATTGCATTTTCATAAAAATATAAATCAACTTTCATAGTTATAAATTAATTTGGTTTAGAATTAACTTTTGAAACAACATTATTAATCATGTTCAAACTGTAATATCGTTTTTAAATTACGTTATTTTCTCGTAACTTATGTTAAACGGGGTTAGAATTACAAAAGACCCCGATATTTGCTAAATAATTGAAATCCTATCGCAATCAGTGCCCTGCAACAAAATCCTGGATCAAATCAGGTTAGGCAGTGGCATCCTTTGTAAATGCAAGATTTATTTAAAGGGATATTGAAGAGATACATACCTGTCCTTGCTTCCTAACGAGGGTAGATAGAAGGAGGGAGCAGAATTAAGTGTTTTTTCCTCATCCTCATCCTGATCCTCTCAATTAGTGAAACACGCATCCAATCAAATATTTATCTGAATCCCTCAATCCGTCCATGCTCATTCATTCTGCCTAAATAAAGCATGACAGAAAGGCAACATTCTTTTCCATAGCTTTAATGCCTTGCAAAAAAAAAATTGGTGCCTGCGGCAACCTTTTCGATTGATGTCAGTTGCACTTGCGATCTAAGGTTGTCAATAACGCCTGAACATCTACACTTCTGTTATTGCTTTTGAAAAGCGTCCCATAACAAACAAGTTCTGAAGACAGTAACCCTAATAACCCTTCTTTCTCAAATTAATTAAAGAACGAGGAAAAAAGGTATTGTCTAGAGGTACAAAACCGTAAAAATTAGTTGCAAGAAGCTTTAACAAGGGAGTCCAGCAGCTCTTTAGCAGACAAAGAATGACCATTTTTTCTACATGGTGTCCCGAAATACGAAGTAATGAGGGTTTACCCCAAAGAATTTCGGAAGAATGTAGAAACCTGCAACAGAACTAGAGTCTCTACAGTCTAATTGGGCACAGTGCATCCTTCTACACGATGGTTGACTTCTTTTGCCTTCCAGGAATCAGCACATAGAAGAGGCGGTTGTTAACTGAGGCTTTCCTCCCAGTTGAATATGCATATATACCAAACAGCTCCTTAACGGGTGTGAAGATTAACTCTTCTACAATAAGCATAAGGCTGTAGTGACCACATAGCCACAGCCTAAACAGTTAACATGCTGAGATGGGGGGCTGTTTACATGTTTTCCTCAACTCAGTCCATATAAAGTTTCAGTACCAGCGTCTCCCTCGTCAGACGGCATCATATTTAGATCAGGTAGCAGGAAAGATCTATCATGATTTGAAATCGCCTTATCTGTTTCAGAAGAGCTTGATTGCAGATGGGAATCACCTTTGGCACATGTGGGCAATGTTGATGGAATGCCGTTACTGGTCGAGGCTTCTAGTTCATTTCCATAATGCAAATTCAAATCAATCTGTCAAACAGAACCAAGTTTTCGTCCGGGAATCAGGAGCGAACCATAAACACATGATAGGTGAAACAGAGATGAAGAAATAGTTGATACCTTAATTCTCTTCAAATTCTCATTTCTGAACCTCTCCTCCTTGAATGTTGAACGTACAGTTGATATCTCCTGTTAAAATGAACATGAGATTAACAAGAAATTAAATTTTGATGAAAAACAGGTTGAAACTCAATGCCAAACACTTCCCTTAGTAATAACTAGTAAGAATCGTTATCATACCTTTTTAAGATAAACCCCTTCCTTCACTAGCTGCGTTTCCTCCTCTTTAAGTTCAGAAAAAGTCTGCAAAATGTCAAACTTTACTGATTACTGCATGCTAAATTCATCAAATATTAGTATATATTTGAAGTTCACTTCCTTAAAAAAATCCCCAGAAAAAAGGTGGTCCATGCGGTCACTTCAGTTGACCTAAACTAGCGTTTGAACATGAATTCACAGGACCACCACGTAGCATACGGATAGGGATTTGTATTATAGCACAGGCAGACAGTGATGTTTGAAATGAAGATTCAATTCACCTTCTTTTTTCTTGACCTCTTCACTATATTGCTAGTGGTTTCACCAATACCAGCACCCTGAAAGATCAAAAATAAACATGGTCATTAGTCAGACACCGTAAAAATAATCAATAAACATTCCCCATCAAATTAATGATAGAGCAGTCCTCTATAGCACGAATCTTGGGCCAGAAACGAATCATCACCATTGAATCATTGGACACGCTAATTCAATGGTTTTGATGCAACTCCTATATATTTCAGCCAATAAAAAAGACTTCAAGGAAGCTGAGCAATAGCGCCAAAAAAACTGCAAAGAAAAAAGAAACCTCCGTTTGCTAAGCAGATAATTCCAAGTGGCAAGACGTCAAAGGCAGCACCACAATATTAAGGACAGCTCAATTACACTTAGGGGACCCATGAAAACAAGAAAAATGGATAGACATTTCCCAATCCTTGAACACGAGACAAAAGCCATAGACGTGGCCAACAACACGCATCATTCTACCCCCACCCCCAAAAAAAAAAAAATATTAATCATCATCAACAATTAATAAATCCCATTTCCATAATTAACAAAAACTTCCGGCAAAGTGTTCAAGGATCAATCATTTTAGTGATTAACGATAATTAGCTGTGAAATTTTATGGTATCAACATTTACTGCCATCCTTAATGAATCTAGTTAAACAGCTGGTCCACATTCAAATGGTAAACGGATCATCATCATCCATCACCCCCAAATTGTTAAGCTGCCTTCTGTAACTCTACACACACCCAATAACTTCACGCCACGTCACCAATACCCGCGTGAAATCACGTGACAACCCTCTTTTTCTATATTTCTTTTTCCTTAAACAATTTTCATGTGATTCCCTCACATGACCACTGACATGGCCGGCAATTACTGGATTGCCTCATATACCTTTCACTCGTACACACATCAACAATGATATGAGCTACTACAACAAATAATCCCCTCCACCCAAGACGGAACCCTTTAGCCCATGCGGAGAGGAGGAGAAGAACCGAAAAGGTCGTAAAAAGCTTGCAATAGACCATCACCACACGATATAATTTCTCACTAACGACACAATCAACTCACCCAACTCAAGCAAAAACACCTTATCTAGCTAAAAACAAACCTCACTTGAAGTGGGCCCCAACCTAAATGGTCAGTGGGCTCCATCGTCAGCCAAAAAACCCTCACGTTGAAGCCATAAAAAGCAAGCAAACCCCATAAAGATTTTGACTCAAAAAACAAAAAAAGGATTCTTTTAATTTATTTTTAGGGCAAAAAAAAAAATGGAAACTTCGTTGGGTTTTGTTTTTTTTCTCTCTCATGGGCAACGGATTTGTGTGGTTCACTTCACGAATCAGACAAAATCATCCTTGTTCGAAGACTTTCACGGGAGAATCTAGTGAAGCCTTGAGTGGACAATTTGGTAGATTAAAGATCAGAAAGTCGGAAACCATGAATGACAGGTGACCGGAAAAGAGGCGAGGAGAAAACGTCACCAAGGGTATTTGTGTCCAGGTAAACCTGACGGTTTTCCAACGATGATCGGGAGGATAAAATCATAAAAAGACAGATTTGCCCCTTGTCAGCTGCTAGCAGGGGTTGGTTTTTTAGCAGCTGGAAAATGGAAACCGATGAAAAATGTTGACGTAAAACGATGGGATAGTTAGAAGCAAATACGTAGATGAACGAGGGGTAAATTGGTCTCCAAGAATTAAAAAATAAAAAAATTTAAGCGAAAAACAGCATTAGACCTCACACCTTCAAAATCAACGAACAGTTTTAACGAGTCTGTAAAACAGAGAAGATGATGGCTGGTAAAGGAAGATTAGAGAAAAAATGATGGGCAGATTGGTCAAGTGGTGAAATCTAAAGAGAAGAAAAGGAGCGAGAGACACCATTTGAAGAACAAGGGAGAAAAAGAGACTGGCTTAACGTCACGGTGATTAATGAGACTGGAAAAGGGTATTTCAGTCAAAACAGAAAGGGAGTGAGGGATCAGCTCACACCAAATCTAACGTTAACAGTAACAAGCAGGAGAAAAAAAAATCAGAAACCCATAGAGAGAGGGAGAGACTGTGTGTGGTTACAACTACCTTGGATCTAACGCCAGGTGGCGGAGGAGAACTGCTGAGGTGGCGGCGGCTGGTTTCTTCAAAACCGTCACCAGTACCGGACGGAGAAGCACCACCATCACCACCACCGCTCCATGATAGAGGAGTGGTAGGACTGCATCTAGTAGAGGAATCGCCACCGCCGCCGCCGCCTTCCTTGCTTTTCAAAACGACATCGCATCTCAATGAAGAAGAATTCGTTGCTGTCATCGTTCCCGGCCTTGACCTCGGAAGCCGCATCCCCCATCGTAAGGGAATAC